AAAACATCAAAGACACATGGTGGCATTTTAGAAGAAATTATGGAGTAAAATGATAAGAAGAAATACAACAGAATGCCTGAAAACATACCCGCAAGACAGAAAAATGTGAAGAGTAATATAGAATACAACTACAACTCACTCAGAAAATGCTTCACAGCAATATTAAAAAAAAAAAAAAAGATTTTTACTGTAATTAGGAAAAACAATGAGGGCAGAAATACAGAAACAGATTATGTAGAGCAGAAACACAGAAACAACAGCTATAAAGCAATACTAATGACATTATATAAACACAGCTATGTAACAACACCTGAGATATACCAGTGAGACACTAAAGGGGTGGACCTCCTCCTCCTGTAACCTGGCCCTTCGGTACAATGAGAAGGGCCACAGATAATTGCAACATCTACTCTGGAGCCAGAAGTAGACTGATCAGAAGCCAATCTTAGATTTTGCTTTGTTCTTTTTTTTACTGTTTTGTTTGTTTGCTTGTCTGCTCTGAATTTTTATAAATGCAGGACTTTCTTTTTCAGGTGGTTGCTGGTTGATTGATAAATAGGTAATTGTTGAAAAGAAAAATCCACAGGTACAAAACTTTAAATGGAAAAATAGTATGTAGACAGTAAATAGTATTTGTGGCTCTGTTTAACCCAACATTTATGTTTGAAAGTATATTTAAAAACCATATTAGAAATACCTAATGTACTGATGAGCATGTCATTCTGCAGGTGTGGTTGCTTTCCCTTTGATCAAGGAAAAGCAAACTGATTAGCAGGTCCAGGTAAGATCAGAGCAGCGTTTCCTGCCAGTGGCTCGGTGATTAAATCACAGAGAGCAAGTCTCAGGGAGACGGGTAATGAAGGGACAGGCTGGCGGATGCCTTCACACCCTCTCCCCCTACGTCCTCCCACTCATCCTCCATCAAGCAGTACTGGAGCTCAGCCCAAGCCCAGGACAGGAGGTGGGGTGGAGCATGAACACGTGCACACACACACAGAGATGTAAGCAAGTTGTTTGCAGATTCTGAATATAGTTAATGTTGTTTTCTTAACTTCACTTGACACGCACAGCAAAGGGTGTATCGAAATATGCAGAACGGGACCCAGTTTGCCGCTTTTAAGCTCAGAGGTCATGAGCATGATTTCACAGCAAACACAAATCAGGAGAGAAAATAAAAAAGATGGAGCAGTCACCACAGGACGCGTCCTCTTTCCAGCCAACCTTGACTGGAGTTAATACAGCAAAGAAACTCATTTACACATTTGAGTATCAAGCTGATTTAATAGAGTAACGACAAAAAAAAACAAAACAGCTCTGTAAATCAACAGTAAGCCAAAACAATAAGAAAGAAAAAAAGCATAAATCTTACTTTGCAGCTGCACCAAACACCCCAATATAGCCAGAAATAAGCATTAAAAGCTCTTTAAAATACTGTTGATAGCTTTTGGTTACAGGCAATCCCCATTCTCATGCCTGGCGATGGTCTTTTATGGCGAGGGACCTAATACAAGATTTCTGTTCTAGTGCAAACACAGTGGCCATGGGCACCAAGGAACAGCTGCCGTATAATTGAATTAACATTCGCCTTCTGCTCCGGCACTCAGCACTGTGCTGAGAAGTCATACACATCCCTCAACGAGCTCCATCAACCTGCCTATGAATATGCATGCTACTGGTGATGAATATGCACTGTGTTTCTAATGTTTGTGGAGCTGCCTACATGGCGAATAAAGAGCTATATGTTGCAAACTGTCTTAGGAGAGCGACACAGTATTCTTCTGGTCCACCGGTGTTTTTTTTTGTTTTTTTTAGAGCCACAGGCCCCTCAGAGGCTGAGAGCTGTGTTGACTGAGGAGCTTTGGTGTGATTTGAGATCTAACAGAGACATCTAGTGGATCAGCTTCTGTGAGTCGTGCTCGTCGTGGAGTTGATGTGGAACGCCGACTAAACGATTTAAACATTTGGGAAAACATGAATAAATCTAGATTCTGTTAGATAAGGGCGGCACGGTGGTGTGGTGGTTAGCACCATTGCCTCAGAGGGTTCTAGGTTCAAGTCCCCGGGGGAACCAGGACTTTTCTGTGTGGAGTTTGCACGTTCTCCCTGTGTCTGCGTGGGTTCTCTCCGGCTTCCTCCCACCGTCCAAAAACCTGTTTGTTAGGTTTATTGGACATTCCAAATTGACTTTGACTGTGTGTCTATATGTGTGTGGTCCTATAATGGACTGTACCCTGCCTCTCGCCCATTGAATACTGGGATAGGTTCCAGTCCCCCATGACCCTATTTGGGATTAAACGGTTCAGAAAATGGATGGATGGATATTCTATAAAATAGAAAAATCCTTTTTCATGTCCTGAAATGCCCTGAAATCTACTGTCACCCTGCACCATCAGGCTTTTTTTTTTAAAATTGATGGTAAAATCAATAATAAAATAAACTGTTTAATTCACTTTAATTAAAATGTTACCACATTTTTATGTTCAGCATTTGAAGGTTGACAACATTTCAACCTTTAAGTATGTGAGCAAGCTCACTTAAGGTGAAACACCGAGGCAGAATGTATTATGCAGAAACAGTTCATGTTATCACGGTCACAGCCAAACTTACGGAGATCCAAGTTTGAAATATACTACGAGTTTGTCTTCCTTTACAGTTCAGGCTCCAAACAGCATCCCCTCACAGCTTTTAAAGAGTCAAACAGCTGGATGAAAATGAACAACGTTGTGTTAAAACAGGCCCCAGATGTGCCAGATTCGTGCTGACAACACACCTGTCATACATCAGCAGAGCAAATGACAGCAGGACCGAAGCGGCCGCAGCAGGGGGTCCATCGTTTTAACATGAACACTAGACTCAACAGCGAAACTTTAAGTTTTGCATGTACGTGAAATTGAAAATCAGTAGAGATGGATTTAAAAATTTAAATCTTCAAACTGGTGGGTCCTTTCACTGATGGACTTCTAAATAAAATTGTTGGAATGACTGGAAACAAGCTTAAGATGGTGGATAAATGAACTATTATCTGCTTTGTTGCTTTGTTATTTTTTAGTGGATAATTTGCTAATGGGAACTGTGTAATAATTATATTAGAACTGCATGTTGTTAATCATAAAATTCAACTATAGATTTAATGCTATGACCATTTGTCTTGACATATATAAAAGTTCTTTTAAAAATGGAGAAAAGTCGATGGCCACTCTTTAACTTTTCATTATATTTAATTCAGAAATGTTCTCTTTTTCATTTTATGCATATGTATGGTTATTATGTGTATGATTACAACAGATGCAGTTCTCAAAGAGTCTGGCTGTGTGACTATATTCTTACAACTCTAGAGGTAAATAATACCCTTTTATGTAAAAATAGCAGATTGTCCCTTTAAGAATGTCACATTGTTTTTGTGCAGAAATGAAGACAGGCACACGTGATCTGAGCCCTTTGAGTCCAGATTTATTGATACGGCTGTGCAGTCACAGAGCAGGGTGGCACACATGGCCGCCTGGCCGGCACGGTACAGTGACACACACATGCATGCGCACTCGTGCAAACACACACTTTCATTCCCAGTCATTCTCTCCATATTGGGATGCAGTGGATAGCAATTAACCGGCTTTTGGTTGATTTGTCTTGTGGATTTTTGAATGTTTCAATGGTGTTTTTGTTACCTCACCCACATAATACTGAGTGCTACAGTTTCATTAAACATATCAGTGGCATCAGTTTGTTGGATTATTGAATTAGACAAATTGGTCAGGCAGCTTCACATAGTCCACTTTACACTTTGTTTATCCCCCTTTCTCTCACAAACACACATCTCAGCACACTAACAGAGCAAGTCACAGTGAGGAGATCAGAAAATGCACGTTAAGTATTCTGTGGCAGAAATAAACCCATACACACACGTGCACACACACACACACACTTGCATACACACTTCCATTAATCTATTCTCAGTCGCTAGAACAGTTAAGATCAGTTGTTACATTGTGGATCTGACTAAACAAGGAAACAGAGCATTCAACAGTGACCATTACAAAACACCATGTTCTGAAGTCTTTACAAGTCAGCAATACAGCTATGTTTCCTAAAATGGGTTGAATATCGTCCTGTTAAACGCTCATATAATAGGCTATCACAGTAGTAAGTGGAAGGTAGAGCAAACTACAAGACTTACATGTCTTGGTCACCTTGTAAAGAAAATCTATTCTGCTTTACCAAGTGTCAGCCAGCCTATTTTGAAGATGTTTAAAGTCTAATCTTTAAAGATAGTTGCACTTTACATTGCAGTTTTGAACCACGTGAATTTTTCTGACTTCAAAGCTGGTGGAGCGAAAACATAAATAGACGCACAGAGGAGACACAGAATGAAAAAGGACAACATGCTCGCAAAATCTATCTGTCCTCTGAGCCTCCAAATGAGCCGACAGTACAGTAAAAGAAACAGAAATACATACACAAAACTTCACAGAACAACTTGAAAACAGACCTAACCAAAATGAAAATGAGCTAAACATAGCACAAAATGTTCTGTTACAAATACCATACGCTGCAATATAAAACTGCTGATCTCACAAACAGTTTATGTTTTCTCTTTCCTGTGAAACTTTGTCAGGAGATATGAACTAGTTTGCTTGACCACCCCTGGATCAGAGTAGGTACAAATGACATCACTAAATTTGGTACAGTTGGAAAGTGTGACATGGAAAGTACAGATAGAGGCACACATTCAGCCAAATGGCTTGCTAACCACTGACTGTAACTTTTTATCTTTTCAGTAGAAAGTAGCTTGTGGTTTCAACATTAGAATAACAGCTCTATTCCACTGTTATTCTGTTATAATAAAAAAAAAGGGAGTGAGTTGGAAAACAAAAGGCTGAAAAGCAGTCACTATTTCCTACAATTTCATAGGTCTTAAAGTGTTTTGCCTTTTTCAATCCCATTTACACTATATGTGTGTATATATATATATATATATATATATATTTATATGTATATATATATAGATATATAATTTGCTCAGCTGTACATATCTATAAAGTACTTTAAAATAAGCTTTAAATCCCGTCTCAGCGCAATAAGTTTTCATAAGAAAAAAACACAAGGGAAAATCAAAGTTTACAGGTTTAAAGGAAATAAAATATGCCTATCATTTTGCAAATACTGCCAAAATGCTTCTTTTCTTTCCTCCAAATTACACGTATTAAGTACATAGTGAAAGCTGAACCAGCATTGCAGGGTTTCATTATGTTACATATCCACAATAAGCAAAAAATTGCATTATCTATATATATAATATTATAAGCCTTAAAAACCTGGAAAACAACAAAGAAGCTGGTATTGATTGGATTTGGAGCCTCAAAAGCACCACAGAAGCATGATGGGTTCGACCAGCTAAGAGATGTATGAGCACACTGTAAACATGACGCCATGTGGTGAAGCTGCTATGACAAAACTGCTCTGCAAAAGAAAAAATAGAATTCTAACTTAGAATTCAGCATGATTGAATTAGGTTTCTTATAATTCAGCAATGACGACTTTTCGCTACAGTTTAAAAACACATCAGAAGGCATCAAGAAGAATACATAGTGTGACAACATCAGACACGTGTCGAGCATGAATCATACAGGACATGATGGATGCAAAACAAATCATTTCACAAATAAAAAAAAAATATCAACAAAGACATGTCTTACAAAAACTTGAATGCATTTGCGTGTGTGATATGTTTAAATTGCAAAAAGCTGCTCTCTAATTTAATCATACATTATACCCCGAAAATATTTCTGTTATTTGGACTTTGGAGTGAATACTACTCCACCTCATATCCACAGTTGTACAAACATTGAATATTCATAGTGAAGAGGACAAAAACACTCACGAAAAAAAAAATGTACTCGGCTGCAAGGAATACAAATGCATTAGAGATGTCTGAGGAAAGCAATTAGACAGTAAACATGTCCCAGCTTCTGCAAACATGACAGGTTCCCTAAGCACAGCAACAAGCTTTCTGTATGAGAATGGGCTTGTTTAAGGAGTTGATAAGATAGTAGAGCTAATGATTTGTGGATTTAACCACAGTGTACTGTACATACATATATTGAACATGTTGTGCAGCGGTTGTAAAAGTCCCGCTTAATCCATTCTACTTTCCACACAGACCTCCATTTATGTGACTGATTTGCAAGAACCGAAACAAATGACTTGTACATGAATAACATACAACTCCCTCATCATCTAAATATAGAAATGTTAGACGTTGCTGCAAGATTATAGGGAGACTTTTACAATAGCTACATGCCAGTGTTTGAGCTAAAACATAAAACACATTGTGACGAAAAAGTATGGTAAAAAAGAAACATACAAAAAGAAATACCCATCATCTAAAGGCTCCGCTCTACCTCGCGGAGGCCTTTTTAAGGTATTTTACTCCTTTTAATAGTCCTCATCAGTAAGTAGGAGTGAATGAATAATTTTACATCGTAAAAATGTGATAAACAAGTTAAAAGCCAAGCAAAAACGAATAATGGAAGGAGACATTAAAAAAATGGAAGCAAACGTGTTGGTTTCTTAGAGGCCAGTAGAGGGCGACACAGTCGAGCTAATGGCCTTCCCTTTCAAATAGGAGTTCCTCACAGGAAGTCCAGCAGGTTCAGGTCAACAGCAGCGTGCCCAGAGTGCCCGCACAGCTCAGTTATTCCATCACTTCCTCTACTTAAATGGAGCACAAAAGAATTAATAACAACTTTTTTATGGAAGATTTCTGCAAATAAAGATATATATTTTAGCTACTTTTCATTAAGTCATGAAACCAAACCTCGAGTTTGCTTTTCTGTGAATAGTTTAAGGCAGCTGGATGAAACTCACCACTCATTTCTTTGTTCTTATTCTCTTCACTGTCTGGAGATTCTGCTCCTGACAGCTCTCCTGAAACATCAGAGTGCTTGTTTTAGTTGTCGGGCTGAATTTGGACAAAGTCCAAACAGCTGATTTCAGCAATGGCTTGAAACATTTGAAATAATTAATCTGTTTGACAACAACAATAAAGTATGAGGATTATATTGAACATTTTGGATACATAAAAAATATTTGCATTATACAATCTGACTATCTAGGTACAGGATTTTCTTTTTAAAGTTTGGTGTAGTGCTCATTTAGCTACAAAGTTTTACTTTCTACATCATCGTACAGAACATTCATTGCCCATGTGGGGTCAAACCTTACTCCCATCTCCTGCGAACAGTCCATGCAAATGGGATTATGTACCGTTTTGCAGCAGGGGATTCTGGTGAGAGGTGCTCCCGGGCAGTGATCCATGCTCTGGTTCCCCTGAGTTACTATCTAGTAGTCTGCTGACCTCTGCTGACTTGGGCGTCTCCCTCTCCTGCTTGTCCTCCTTTGGTTGTGGGTGCTCAGACTCTTTTTGGGCGTCTTGGGGCTCCATAGCCTCTTCCTGCTCAGCTTTCTCCTCTGCTTCCTTTTTAGCCCTCTCCTCTGCCTCTGAGTTCACATGGAGCACAGAGGCAGTTCAGCAAAAAGGCCTTTGTTTGCATTAGATATTATTTTGTTATTTTTAATGCGAGAAAACCGAGGGAGCGGTTGGCTTTGTTGTACTTTTTCTATGAAAAAAACGATGCAAGACAATTTTTATTCTTTTTAAGATAAACAAGGCATTGCCAGCTTGTTACCACTTGGTGGCAGTCTTAAAAAGGGCATATTATTACCAGTAGAGAACATCTACAAGGTGAGATGTTGAATGTGTTTAAGTCAAACGAAAAAGTCAAATTCTCTCTTTAAACATTTACACTCAAAATATACATGAAACCTCCACTCCTATCACCTGCCTGATGTCTTTTAGTGTGTGCTTAAAGTGAAATGTGGCCTCTGTTGCAAAAGAAATCACACTTTGCTTCATAAGACAGAACCAAAACAATATGGGTGATTATTGGAACATTAAAAATAACCTAAATGATGCTTGAAAACCCCTCAAAGCTGTCTGTAGTAAGCTGGGATGAGTAAAGGCCTCCACAGTGCTTCAGCTTTCTTTGACTATTTCTGTTGTCTAGAGTTACAATGTGTTCAGACATATCGGTTTTACCTTGGCCTCGGATGTCAACCAGTGTAACATGTTGTACTTTACCTTTAGCCGCCTGGGCTTTCCATCTTTCTCTGTTTTGATAAACCTCCTCATTCCACAAGGCCTTGAAGTTCTTCATGTCCACTGACAGCAGAGAGCTTTGGCCTGACGAGCTGCTGTCCGAGCCCATGCTCTTGACACTGTGCCTCTTGGTTTCATCTGAGCTAATACTGTTCAGACTGGAGATTTTTAAAGAAGGATAGAAAAAAATGGGGTTAAAACACGTGTCTGACAAAAACTTCATCAGGCCTTTGCAGTGTGAACAGATCCCGTATTCAGATTTTTGGACACCTAAACCAATGAGTGTTGCCTGTTGATTCACGAGCATTTGTCACAATGAAACAGCAAAAGATAATACAACATACTTTAAAAAACATTATTCAGACAACATGTATAAAAGAAATATTTGACTCCATGGCAACAAAAACCTTCTATTTACATTCCATAAACCTTTCAAATTATGAGTGGAAGGCCTTGCTTGCCCACAGATTTACACTTTGTAAATCCCAGCTCTGGTGGTTGATTTCAAACATTTAGAAGTCGACTGAAATGCACCGTTGTTTTAATGCCCATTTAGGTTTCACATGAGGTTTACGCACTGTTTCACCAAACTTCAAAAAGCAATGCTGAATAAGGCTGTTCAGGGGAACTGTTAGTTCAGGTCCAAATGAAAGAAACAGTGCAGAACCAGACTGTCAGAGTGCAGATTTATTTTCCAATAAACCAACCTTCTATGAAAGGAAATTCATTTTTACTATATTTCTGAGGGAAGCTAAAAAATTAGTTACATGACAGCGAATGTAACAAACTGTTGCTTTCAAAGCCTTGTGTTATATATAATTTAACACGGGGCTGGAGGAAAAGAGTGTTGAACCGAATGATTAAACCAGTGGAAACAAATCATTTCCTTTAGTAAATCAAGAAAGTATTGTGGAAGCCAGTCCAGCTTTAAGGGCCTTTGTTGCTCAGGGATGCTAAGGTGAACTGGACTTGCATCCCTAAAATGTCAATTTCAAGCTGTGTGGGTCTGCAAGATGAAATGTGGGGACGTTTCCATGCAAGGAAATGGATTACTCATGGGAGACTCATCTGCTGTTCTCAATACTTCCATTAGACATGCTGTTGTTGCCGCGGAGAAGCTGTTTTGGTTTTTAATCGTGTCGCTGAGCAAGTTGTTCAGAAAGGTATGCGAGGTGAAGGGTAGAAAACATACAATTTTCCATCCTTGATTAACTAGGCTGGCTGATTAGAATTTATTCTGATTTACATGTTGGCACCCACTTCCATCTGCTCAGCTATACTTCAGAGCCGCATATGAAGATTCATATTTTTTTCCTCCTGAATTCACTTTTCGAGAGCAGAGCTGCAGCTCACCTTGAGCGTCGAAAACCAGCCAGACCTGAGTGGGAGGCCTCGTCAATGAGTGGCGTTACGATCCGCTCCATCATGTCTGTCAGCACGGTGAAGGTGGGCACCACGATGAAGTCAATGAACCCTGGTGACAAACACATCAGCAGAGATAATGTCGGCATTCGTATTCTTAAGAATTAAACTGATTTGAATGCATCTTGTATAAAAATGAGAAGCATAATAACCACCTTATTGGTGTTAACAGCATGGTTTCATAAAAAATAGGGAAAAAAAGGATTGTATGTGAAAATTGCCAGCTGTAAAAATAAATTATTAAATTATTTCCGCAGGTGTTTTTTTATAATTACCTGGCAGTCTCTATTTTCACAACTTAAAAAAAATATATATATTTTTAAAGGCTGATTCTGAAGTGTGAGTTGTGAACATTGCACATGGAGTAAGTGTAGATGGAGAAGATACCGACCTATTTGGGACTGTGCCACCAAGGTTGACTTTCTGTCACAGAGAGGAGAGAATGGCAGTCCAAGTTCAGCTTCTTTGTCCCCCTGGAAATTCATCAGATTCCTTAGTAAAAATGATTGCATGCAATAGGTACAACATTATAGAAAAACAAACAAACACACACAAAAAAAAGCAATGTACCCTTTGGGCATGAACACACTTTTCACACAAACTTGTAGACAGACTTGTATACCAGCCTTGTTGAAATAACAAAACATACCAAAAACAAATAGCAAATCATTTTTGGGTTATTTCAAGATCACCACCGTTTCACAACTTTGCATGCCTATAAGTATGGACTCTTACTCCAGAATCCAGATTGACTTCATCTGCACTTATCCTGGAACTATTCAGTGTGGAGTATTAAAAAAATCGACAAACTGTGACAATGAAGTCCTAAAAACAACAATTTCCCTTCCAAAAAACAAAAACTGTTTTCTGTACATCAATTTTATATAAAGAGACTGAATTCAACAGACAGAAACACAATATATTTTCTTCATTGACTAACATCATTGAAAAATAAATGCCAAATTATAGTATTTGACCCTATAATATACAAAAGAATATATACACATGTGCTATGTTAATGGCTAAACAGTATGTCTAAATTTGATGATTGTAGAAAAAGATTAACATATTCGTGGAAATCTCAGTGAATAAAAGTAATTACTGGAGACCAGCACTGGATGGTGTGACCTTCACATCTCCAGCCTGCAGTTCATGATAAATCACCGTCCTTCTGAACTCGGCATTACCGAAAGAGCTCGGAATTACCTTGAAAATTCATCGCCATCTAAGGCTCTGAGCTATAAAGATCAGAAGGCTCATCCAGGCTCTAATAAACCAAAGATGCAAAGCCAGTCTCTGTGAGGTTAATCAGGTGCATTAATGCGTGTGGCCTGGCTGACCAGGACATTTGATGCAGAGGACTATTCTGGCATTTTGGAGAGACATCTGCTACCGTAAAGCCAAAATGCTTTCCCTAGAGGTAAACGCTTTTTCTTCTCTTTTTTTCTGCAGCTGGACGATGCCAGACCTCATTCTGCACGACTTACAACAGCCAAGCTTCATTGGCACAGAGTCCATTAGTGTGTTTGTGCGTGTGTGTGTGTGTGTGTGTGTGTGTGTGTGTGGGTTTGACTAAAGACCAGATCTTTCGAACAACAACAGCTGCAGACTGTTAAGTCATTGAGATCTTATATATTCAGCAAGAAAAGACACATATTCCTTTGGCAAAACTGTATCAGTTAGTATTCTCAGACATTACGCAATGTATAAATGCCTGGATCCCAAATATTTTCGGGGTTTGTCAGCATTATATTCTAGTTTTGTTCTAATTGCCCTCGTTAACTTACAGTATCAGGTGCACATTGTCATTTGTGTTTCCATACAAATAATATGATTATTAAGTAATAAATGTAAAGAATTTTAATGCACTTCATCCAACACTGAAAACTCGATAAAGCAGTTTTCAATATTCAGTCTAAACGTAAGCTAATTAAATAAAGAGGGACACATAGATTTATTGCAGCACCACCCTGTTATCTGGCTTTGTTCCAACCATGCACAGTAAATGAAAACCATAGATTGGTGAATGCATTGCAGCTTTTCATCATGGTCAGCTGAAAAGCATGCCGTGTTAACTCTATGTACATCCCACAAGCACACGGTGGAGCTGTTGAGTGATCCACGCACCTGTCTGAAGAACTCTTCCAGCAGGGAGGTGGTCCAGCGGTGGTGGAGGTCCCAGCTTTTGGCTGGGTGGCTGATGTCTGCTGTGTGCAGCAGTAGGGACAGGGCTTTGGGCTTGTCAATGCTGGAACACACGCATAAACTCCAAGTTCAGTAAACATGACAAATGGCTTGTTATTTGACTTTGTCAAACACGGAGTGAGATTAGAAGCATAAACCAAGTCAGTAGTTTAGGTTATGCAGGACAACTTATTATCATTGTTGATGCACATAGTCTAAGCAAAACCCAAATCATGGCAGCTTTAGTTCTGCTACACGTTGCCTGAGATTCCGATTCAAACATTAGTGTTTTAAAATTTCTGAAACAAAACTAAATTAGAAAAAACAAAGGGCTGTTAGACTTTTTACGTCCCAAAGTCCCTAAGACCACCGGGTCGAAGCTGCAAAAAGAATGTGGCGCAAGGACTCAAGTGGAAGCAATCTTTCCATGATAAGACGAGCATAACACATTTAAATTGATGGCGCCGGTTTTCTGTCAGCATTGTGAGCTACAGTTTATGAGCTTTATGGTCAGTTTTGTACAATACATCATAATCTTTTCTTACGAAAAGTCTTTTTACTAATAATATCCACACAGAGAAAATTTGCTCTGATTGTGGGCTGTTGTATGCATGTTGTCTAAAACTACGGATAGTTTGTTTAAAAGAAACTTGTTAATCAGTTCAGAACCATGGCTTGTAGACTAAGCTGCAACAGTGAATGGGGTCAGTTGTGTTGGTTTATGGGATTAGTTCATTTATCGGTGTTAGTCTTCTCATGGTGTTTGTGAGATCAAAAACTTAAGCCAGTTGAATCGTTTTTGGTTTCTTGAGGATGTATGACTTTTTCTGTTCAACTTTCTTTAGAAATTTCTTAGAAGGACCAGCAGCTTTCAGACAAAAGAATAAAACAAATACTTCTCAGTGATTGTTAAAGGGAGGCTCAAGTAAATACAGGCACTGATTAGCACATGTTTACTTGTGCTTGAACTTAAATCGCAACTCAAAAATGCAGTGCAAAAGAACAGAGACGAAAAACCCCTTTTAATCACACTGCCTCCATTAGGCTTACTGGCCCTTTGTCGTCTAACACAGTGTGAAGAGGCATCGTGCCTCCCCATTGGAGATGGTGTATGCGATATCACCTGATAACCATGGGAAAATATCTTGTTTAATGGACTGATGCATGAGGGGACAGACACAGACCAGTAAAGAAAATAGACAAGACACACACACACACACACAGAGAGGCACACATGAACACAGAGCACAAGGTTAAAAAGAGGTGAGAATGACGAGCTCACATTTCCCCTCGTTCCATTTGTGGCAGATTGAGTCTTGAAGTGCACTCTAAACATGCCTGCAGCAGACTGGTTTGAATTACTTCACATTAGAGTCCATTCAGCATCCCAGCTGCAGACTGAAATCTCTTATTTATGTGCATGCGTATGAACTTTAGTGTGATGATTACCTTGCAGTCAGCATTTTTTGTTTTTGATTTATATTCACACGTCCAGGAGGTATAATACCACTGATGCCTTTATACATATATATATTTATATTCTTGGGAAGCTCCTTGTCTCCAGGTGGGGGCTGTTTGAGCAGTTTTCAGATGGCGATGAATGTTAGGCAATATCGCAATGAAAAGAATACTCAACGAGTTCCTTGTCGCCTGTTTCTGTCTTTGCTGCAGCCACACAAGCTGCGATGACTCATGATGTCATACGATAGTTTGCTTGATAGCACTTTTATTTCTATTCAGCGCCCGCACCACTGTGCCTGCATGTACAGCAGCGATAAGTCGATCTGGAGGGTGGTGGGCTCCAAATGTGTAACGAGGAAGTTCTGTGAGGAAGTGCCCAAAGATACCGGCAGCGCAATCTCTTTAAGGAATAGAATAACGTCCCATTTATTGTCTAACTAGTGTTCCGTCCCCTATAAAGCAGTCCTTTATCTTTCTGAACCAAAGTAAGAATATTAAAAAACATACCAACTAGCATTTATAATTAGTTCAAAAAGCTGCCCTCTTTTTACACTAATTTTAGGGATCAGATGTGGGCAATATTATTACATGCCACCTCAGGATGAGTTGTTATAGGTCTGATGATACATCATAACAGAGCAACTATAGTTCTCCATGTTTGCCTGAGGAAATAGAAACACGAGACAGCTCTTAAAACAGGCTGAATAACATCTTATCAAATAACATACTATGGCGTGTCAAAGGGTGTCGTTTGAGAGTCCACTCTGCAGATCAACTTTTTTTCCCTTCTTTTTATGAGATCAGAGTTGGTGTTTGAAACTAGAGGATGGTGTGTAGGGTAGGTGTACTTCAAGACCAGTTTATGATTCCTGCACTGGTGTAGCATATCATGCATTGTCATTTAATTTAATGTACACAGGAACATAATTCACTGTATGAGCTTCATGCAGGGACTGCACTGCCTTAAATCTAATGAGCAAAACAGTGAAACAGCTTTTTCCTTACTGAGATAAGAAAATTAAATGAATTAAAGTCAGTCTGAAGGACAACTATTTTGCCTTTAAAGGTTAGTCTGCTTTTCAGGCGAATTGAAGGCAATTACAAAGAATGCAGGATTATGGCTTCTTCATGATTCAATTTGCTTCTCAGACCCTAAAGCTATGTCTACTTTTTTATCAAAATATATTATGTAATATTATAAGCCCCCAGTGAGTCTTTGGAGTCCAAATGAAGAGATATAAAGCAGAACACAGTTTATGCAACTCGTCATAGATATTGATGTAAATACGTTTTGTGTGCTACAATTTCTGGGCCTTCTTTGGATGGCTATTTAGGTATCAACTTGTACATTCAGACATTTTCTCGAAATCTTTATGAAAGGCAGGCCGAAGGCTAATCTGGAAATTCATGCAACAATGTTATAGGTTCATTTAAGTGAATTGCATTATACAGTTGAACTTTAAGATAAAGTAAACTGATGAGATTTGACTTATTCTATTTGATTTTTTTTCTTTTTGCTTACCAGCATACCAGCCATCTCCAGCCACACAATATGACCACACAATAACTCAGCTGCTGTCAGTACCTCAAACACAGGGGTGGAAAAAGAGCTGTGTTTGTACCTGAGAGTGAGTTATAGCCTGATATATACCTGTAGCTTATGATGCATGACATATAGCACCTTTTGGCACCATACTGATTTAATTTAAGAATATAATCTTGAGTGAGCAGAAACCAAGCACCGAAAAACATCCTTTGTTTGTTCCAGAAGAACAGTCACACAAATAATTGGCTGTTTATTGTGTTTCCCTGATTACCTGCTTCAGGGCAGGTTTATTTAGGTTTTAAATGGCCATTGGTTAGTAATTAGTGGCTGAGAAACAGGTTAATGGGGACATCAATCACTAAGTTTAGGGAGGAAATTGTAAATAGCAGTTTAGGAAAAGACAACTGACCCTTCAGGTTGTTGTAGAAAGTTCTTCATGGCTTTCACCTGCTGGAAATGGCAGGACATATCTGTTGCTAACACCATCTCCACAACCAGAGCCCTCAGCTCTCTGGATGAAAACAAAGGAGAAGAAAATATGAGCCAAAAAATAATGTAATAAACTGTCAAACGTGCAGGTAATAAAAGCTGAATTATTTTAAAAGGCGTTTAGGTCAATTAGAGCTATTTATAATATATCTTTGATGATTGCCAGCTGATGATATAAGAAATCAGATCGCAGCTGTCTTCCCTTTAATAGCTTCATTCAGCACAACGTTATTGAACCCTGAAGGTTGTCCAAGTATGCTGATTTTAGCAAATGCAGACATGAAGGATAACTTTCCTTTTGGCCTTTAACCATCTCACTGTGTGAGATGTGCCTGATTTCATTCCGGCCAATTTGTCTCTGACAGCTCCAACATGATGTCTCCATGTTTCAGTTTTGATTAATCTGTCTTTGCAACTCTAATCACCATCTCTTTGTTGAAGTATCTGCATAACTGACCTCCAGTCATCCTTTGAGAGGTTGTAGAGGATGTTCATTTCATCGTCGTCCTGCAGCAGGCGGTAAGCAGCGCTGACATGATGGCTCTCCAACACTGAGCGGTCATTGTACAGGATGGCTGTGTCTGACCTATCCAATTAAGACAGTGAAACAGATTCTTGTTGTTTTATACTGCAAAAAGCACAAACGTTAAATATACAGTACCATACCTCGCCACTTTTAATAATGCAAGGCTGAACCAAATTGGGAAACAAAACAAAAAAAAACATCAAGCACACACAATGTTCAGACTAAAAGAAGAAAGAAAAGCACAAGAACAAGAGTAATAATAATAAAGCAGCACATAAGTGTCAAATAAAGACACTACCAGGGAGTAAAAGTCTACTTTCACACTTGATTAAAGTTAAGTAGAAGGTGTTGCACAAAATACTGAGGTGTTTGAGACAGCTAATGGGTGATATCTTTCTTGAAAAAAACTTACATGCAGATCAAAGCTTATGTTCTGAATGTAAAATCCCAAATTTTGTACAAGGGATTTGAATTCTTTAAGAACACTGTAAACATCGTGTCCCTTTAGAAACTTCATCTTTTTAAACGGATTTCTGATGTAAATGTACCTTTTTGAAAACATGTTTTACCAACTGGTTGGTGAAAATAGTATTTGATTGTAAAATTAAAAAGATAAAAGAAAAGTATGCAGAAACATTAAATTAGTGTATCTACTAAACAAGATTTGTGGTCTTTTCAGCATTTAAGTGTTTGGATTTGGATTAGAAGGCACATTTTTTCTTGGAGATAATGGGGATCTGAGTTCATCTGCACACCCATCCTGTCATTACTGCACTGCAGGTGGTCGCAGTGTGAATGTAAAGCCCCCTCGCTGTAAATGAAAACATTGATCCGGTGAGTCAGTGCCATGCATTTTTGATTTTATCATCCATTACCTTGTCTGGATGTGGAAGTTGTTTGTGGTCCCTGTGTGCTCGTAGTCGTGCACTGCCGCCGCAAAGATCATGGCAAAAATCTCAAGTTCAGTCAACCAATGCTGGAGGCAAGGCAAAAAAGAGAGGGAGACAGGGACGTGAAGAGGGTGAGAGGGAGCAGGGGTTGGTAAAGATAAGTAGGGGGGAGGGAATATCAAGACAATCATGTAGGAGAGGGGGTGTATTGAGAAGGAGGAGGCAACAAGGTGGAAAAGTAAAAGACATTGTCAGAAAAACAGTATTGAGAATACAATACAATAAAATTGATGGAGAGAAGACTAAAGCAATGAGCAACCAGTAAAAGAGACAGCAGGGAATGGTACATTATTCCATTAAGGTGTCAAGGAGGAATGTGACATAAAGGATGTAAAGAAGAGCTAAGCATGATTAGTCCATTACTATCTGTGATCAAAGGGACAAATGAGCAGAGGTAGATGGAGGAAAGGTTACAAAAGCAAAAAGAGAGGTACAATAAGCTCTGTTGAGAAGGACATTTTACACTGTTCCTTTAACGCTTTCCTTCCTCTTTCTCTCAGACAGCCTCTAGGTCTGATTCTTCAGTGTCGCCAAGTATAAATAAGAGGGTTGTGTCCAGTTTTTCTGGGAACCAATCCATTACTTTTATAAATAAAATCTAATGAGGTCCTTGCATGCCTTTTCTCTATCGGCCCATTGGTGTAAAAGCAGCAGATCATCAGTGTAATATATAGAAAAATATTCTGCTTATGTTTTGATGTAACGGGACATATTTGGGAGTACATGCAGCCTGAACTCACTTCAGTGAGTGGCCAATTTCCTCTGAGATGTGCATCCATCTGAGTGTGCTTACGTGCACAGAGAAGGGATTTAGCTCAGGAAGTCAAGTCAATATCGGTGACTAATCAACAGTGGGTGGTGGGGGAGTCATTAAGAACTGGGTGGGGACAAGATGGCCGAGCCATCGCTCTGTTTTTCCTCATGGGCCAGCTTTATGAATGACCTGTTGATTGTTGATTTAATGGAGTCTGGAGGGCCTGCAGAATGATAGATGCTTTTCTCCTGCTCTCCCAGGAGCCTGTGGTTGCGGCATTAATGTGGTTTACTGTGCAAGGCACAGCCCGAAGACACACACCATGTCGACAGCTGTCGCAGGCACCTTATTAAGGTGATTAAATAAAAACTGTGGGAGCGGGGGAGGCATTCTAGTTAGCTAGTTGGAGACAGTGAAATCAGACTTTTGGAGTTTTTGTGTTTTTGTTTGAATGAATAAATGTTGTGTGACAGGTGCCCTCAAGTCACTCCCGTGAGAAGAAGAGAAATGGAGATGCCTAAAAATAATGAAAGCAGCATGAAATCGGAAGTGGAGACAGATTAAGCAATCATATTGTGAGAAACAAAAAAACAGGAAACTGCCACATCTAAACGAGTACACTTTGGTTCAAGTGAAAGTTTTATGAGGAGTATGACCTTAAAACAGACTTTCCCCTTTAGACTGAGGGTAATCACATCTATATTCAAGTGTGTAAAACTTTATTTTCATGTGGATGTACTGCTGATGGCTTTACCTTGTAATTCTGTTGTCAGTTTAAGGTCATCATTTCATAAAATATGCCTCACATCTATAGATATTAATTTAGATCAAAACAACTGTAACATGATGGTTTGGTAACCATGTTCACAGGCCTGAATGTGTACAGATATTTACAGTCTAATCTGCACTTACAGAAATGTCCGAACTAAATTTGATTTGAACATTTTTCAATGGAGTGTCTTCGTTCATTGAACCGATGGATAATGGATTCTCCAAGACAACAAAACAAAACAAAACAAAACAAAAACAGGCAAATCTACAATTAGTCTGGAATATGTTAGCAAAGAAAAATGTTAAAAAATACCACAAAGATGCAAATCTGATTGCGCAACCCAAGGCTCTATAATTTGAAATTTAACATTCAATATGTTTCTGTATATGCTGAGAGATCAGAACCAAACGTTGGCATATAACCTGCACGTCCTACTCACCACCATGCCGGTCTTGAGTAGCAGGTAGTGCACGGTCTGCGTGACATCAGCGGCATGCATCAGGTTGTGGTAGGGGTTTTTATGTTTGCTATATCCAACTTCCAAGGCCTCCACAAATGACACCACCGCAGAGATCGGGATCTGACACCAGACAAAAACAACATCAAATGTCTGTGCGTAACTAACACGGCAAATAGCCAAGAACCTCATCATTACACCTTGTGATTTAAATTATGACCAGATGCTATCTAAATGCATGCTGCATCTAAGAATTGGTGTCATAAAATCATGCACTGTGAATCATTTTGGCTGCGGCAGACTATGATTACATATTCACATCAGCTTTATTGCTTTTGTCATTTTCTCTCAGATGCTGTCACTTCAGCTGGATTGCTCTCAGCTATTAGACACTGTGGAAAAACGAGCAGCATAACGATCAGGAGAGATGAAATGTGTCTGGACCCCTTCATGACATGATCATTGGGGGAATTCCACAACGTAATCTTGGTCTTAAGTGACTTGAGAGAAGATGGTTTTCAGTGTCAAAATCAGGCACATTGAAGGCTCAAGGTCTGAGCTGAAATATTACATTTTCGTTGTTTTAATGTCATAGACAGAAGTGTATGGGTGGTGGGATAAGTTATGACCTTTGGAATTTACCTTGAAGCGACTAATGAGATCATATCTGGTGAGCAACTCATAGAATATGAATTTCAATGCATGATCCCCGCTGGCCTCATTCAGAGCGAACACATCAAACGACCACTTGTCAACATTCTGTGTAGAAGAAAAAAAGAAGAAGAAAATGAGCATTTTCAAAATAACCTTTAGAAGTGATGTGCTGAGCCATTTTACATCCAAGACTTATTCATTTAGAAATGTAGATTAGAGGTTTTTCTTGTTTTTTCTTGTGTGCACGTTAATACCTTAAGCACAGATATGACAGACGCAGGGTAGCTGAGTCCCACCATATTGGAGGTACGTCTGTACATCCTGTTTGGATGAGATAAAAAACATCAAATGCAGAGCACTGCTGAGTGTAAACACCAGAGGTTACCACACCAAACCAAAACCACAGCCTGAAAGGTTCCCCACCGCGACTAAACCTTCAAATCAACGCAACTCAGTGTGAATCTATGCTAGAAAGGTTACATTGAGAGAAGGCAAATGCTGCTGAAAGTCTTTTCTTTTTTCAGTGGAAAAGGTTTCAAGCTTTATCACACACAACGGATGGAATAGAAGTTTTGTCAACTCAGTCACAAACTACAAAACAGGCCGGTTATTTTGCAATGATATCATTGCAGTCGTTGAGTTTTTTTGAAGAACAAGAGAACACAAAGCCGGGATACATTTCCACAGACATTTCTTCTTGCCGAATGAGGGAAGATGGATTTTTTTATGGATTCAATTAAGCACGTAAAGTGTAGACTGCACTTCACATTTCCACCTCATCACTCTCATCCTCACTTTTCCAATCTTTTTTTTCTCTTTATAACTGCAGAGTGCCCTTTCTAAAAACAGATTAAGTAAGATTATATCTTATATGTTTGAGGCTTATTCATATGAACAAAACCACGTTGCATGTTATTGTATGATAAAGTACAACATTGGAAAGAGGATAGTTTGTAGCTGTCTGAATGATTTTGCTTGGCCCGGAGCTCACCAATGCTGCTTTATGATCAGCGCAGGTGAAACTGCCCTGTACAGACAAATTTCAAAAACAAACAAATTTAAAAAATGCTATAAATTTGATCACTTTCAATTATTTCCATTGATTAAAGCCCACCACTAGTATAACGTTATGCAGAAATTAATATGGTTTGTGTTTGAGAAAAAACTAAAATATTTTATGCCCCGATTAGAAACATTCCCCATCTGTGAAACATGGGGATGGTTTAGCATCACAGTTTAATCCCCCTTTTGTTACATCCTCTGGAGCCTTAGGAAGGTTTAGTGTCATTGAAGGAACAATGAGTTTTAAATTAAGCCAGTGAATTCTGAAGGAAAATGCAGAGATAGCCATCTGTGGACTGAGTCACACAGCAAGACAGCAATCTTAATCTTAATGTCCAAAAAAAAAAAAAGGTTAACAAGTAATGATGGTAATGTTTTCCGGATGCCAACTAATCATTCTGACCTTTCAGCACCAAGACTGTGGAAGTCTCCATTAAATAAAACAAACAACTTTGGCTGCAGGACTAATGACATTATTGAAAGCACCACTTCTCTTTGCCATTTTCAGGTAGGAAAATTGGATATTTTCCCCAAAATGGCTAAATATCATACTGGTGTACAATTGATATCATTAGAGTTCTGGACTTTTGGATATCAACATCTTTCAAAAGTTGTCTTTGTTTTATCTAATTATGTTTTCAGTTAGACAAATTAGAAATGCAGACAATACTAGTCGCTGGTTGTCATGAGCTGGAGTTTTGTGTTCTGTTTTTACTTGTTTTTTGGTCTTTCTGGTCTTTACGGGGCTTAATTATTTGATCTTTTGGTTCTATGTTCTATATTGTTTTTTTGTTTTCCACAGTTTTCCTTCTGTCTAGTTATCAGCTCCACTGTCATCCCCTGTGTTCACTATCATCAGCTGCACTCATTCACTGATCACTCTCCCCACAGAAGTGAAACTCCTTGGTTTCCTCCAGTCCATGCTATGATCTCCTCATGTTTCTCTGCCATTTGTGTTTGGAGTCCTTTTCTGGGTACATATTGTTTTTCTTTTTGTTTTCACTTTTTTTTTCATTCCAGTGAACCTGTGCTTCCCTCACGCTCCAGTCACCTCTGGGTCTGTATTTTGGGTCCTTCCCTTCTTTATTCCTCCAACTGCAAAAGCTCAAAAGGGAAACTCAAACACCACAAATTGAACAATCAACCTAAGGCAGTGTTTTAACGTCCCTCTAGCTACCGCATGATTTCCATACATTGTTATTTGTCACATTTGTGGTGCAGAAATAAAGTCTGACTTGAACGTGTGCTCATTGACAAATCAATGCCTTGTCTAAAAGCCTTGTCCGTTTCCAGTCTTTATTCAGGACCAAATTAAAGGTGTTGATACGTTTCCTTTAAACTGCTGTAGGCAACTCTAGTTTGGGTTGAAAAAATTGATGGATTGGCAATTTCAGAGGTTGAAAGTTAAAGGTGACAGTCCATGAAAATAAGTTAAGTTCTGACAGTTCATGATGTGTGGCTGTGAATTATTGTATTTTTTCCTGTACAAATTACCTCTCGACAAATATGCCAGCCTGAACAGCGTGGACGATGCTGCGGAAACGAGGTTTTTCTTCATTCCGCCGCAACATCAGGCCCATCTGTCTGGTAAAGGTGGAGGCCAGCCAGTCCCGCACCTCCGAAGGCACCGACTCAGACTGTATGTCACTGAGCTCATCCTCTGTGTCCACCAATCGCCTGGAAGAACGAACACAATGAGTACATGGCAAGATACGTGGGGACAAAAGGGTAACTGACATCTCCCACAAGGGTTAAAACACAAATCCTACACCTGCTCATCAAATAATACCTATTACGTAATATTGCCAAATCTCAGATATACCAAAATTCTGAATACAAATCCAATTGTGTGACATCATTCTTTGTGACTAGGATGACAGGTGTGAGCCATCAAATGTCTCTTAGCTGAAAACATGTTCTAATGGCAAAGACACAACATTCCCATCCCACTGATAATGACAATGCTACATGGGTTCTGCACAGACTGGTTCATTATCCTCCACCCTGGATTGGTCAGGCCATCACTGACCCTAATCTCTTTGGATCTAGATGATGAGAGATTTACATAATTCCATAAACCTGGTCATAGCTCAGATTGTAGACCACCCTTCCACAATTGACATTTCAGTTATTTTCAAAACTTAATCATTCGTTAATACAATTTTGCCATGAGAACAATATTTCCAATATTTCTTTTGCCATGTTCCTTTCAGTTTCTAACTTCAATAGAAGTTAAGAAACAGTCTTATATTTTGGAACATGCTCACAAACAGCTTGTTTTGTTTTGCCATCTGTCATTAAAGATGAGGTCTTGTCAAGTGTACATACCATCTGCCCATGTTTGCCACGCAGACATTCGGTGGTGCAAAAATTAAGAAAACACGTATTAAGAAGGTTTATCAAAGAAAAACTAGTGATACCACATTAAGAAAAAAAACTTAACCAAAGTTAAATAAAACCTAAAAGGGTGTTTTTTTATTGCAAATAAAAACCAATAACAAATAAATCTGATTTTACTGAAATGAAATGGGGAAAAAGCGCCAAACAGTACCAAGAATAGTTAATTTAGACAGCCAGATGTTATGGAGCATCAATCCTTTAGCATTTTTATCTAAATAACTTTCTGCATGATATATGTGGCTAGAGTGGCTCTAGTGAGAGATTGTCCTTTATGCAAAACGATGTAAACAGTCCTCAGAAACCGCAGCTGACAGAAATGTAAATGTGATCATACTTTGTTTTAATGGAAGTGTGTTAGTGCCAGAAATGTTTGAAGAAGCCAGCGGTACTGCACTAAAATGCACTTTCAGTCCAACTTCTCGTCTGATGCCAGGGGACTTTGTCTATCTTTACACAGAGTCTGTGGTGCAAAGCCTGAAGGATGTAGAATTTATCAGGACACAGAGCCTGCTAGAAGCTATTTATTTCTCTTTCAGATGAAATTTAGAATGTTTACTTTTACATCCCAGAGCTTTGATTTAAGTTATCCTTGAAGAAGAATGAAAAGCTAACTTTTATTAACCCACCCATCAGTCTAAACTTCCTTTAGCCAAAGAGGAAGGTTAAAATATACATTTGTGAAGTGAGTAAAAAGGCTTAAAGTCACAACCAAGTTATGTATATGAAATGGTAAATTTTCTGACCAGATCTTATTCATTAAATCCAGTTGCCTTTTAATCTGTTAAACAAATATGCTAGCCAACAAGAGATCTAAACTTTACTGAGTGCCAGCATCAGTACAATATTCAGTGATGTGGTGGACAGCCTGATTCATGATCTAGGATACTGTCCCAAATGCTGGAAAACATTCTGATAGTCCAGGACTACACCATAAAGCAGAATGGAGTTTCTAAACAATACAACCAACAATATTCTTGTTTTTGAGTTGATGTTTCCCAGCTGATATGTAATTACGGGTCTTTTAGGTTTTGTCTGAAAATATGGTTAATTTGAATGTCCATCTGTATTGGTTTTAACATTATTTTCTCTGAGTTTTTTATTTGGCATCAGTTCCCACAGGCGTGGGTTTCTGTGACCAAATAGAGACAAAAGAATGTTCAGAAAAGTCAACTGCTATGTTAACCACGGTCATCAGCTGAGCAAAGTCAGTCCACCACGAGTGCTGTCGTGTTGTTCTCAGTAAATGAAGTCAAAACTTTTTTCGGTGTCCGGGTTATTAGGGTTTTTGATGATTTTTTTGTTACCTTGTCTCCTCGATGTAAACGGATTCCAGTACAGAAGCTGCATACTCAAGGTTTTTCTTGAGGTCGCTGAGGGAAGCCTCTCCTCTCTCCAGCTGCTTCACCAGACATCGTAATCTAAAACAGAGATCCAGCTGTCATTCAACAAATGAGAATACTTTCCCCCCATTTTGACATGATAAACAACTCTGATACTGAAATAATCTTTTCTCAGTTACAGTTGGCTAGCAGAATATCCTTGTTGTTCTTTTTTTTTTCTGTTCATACAATTATGAAATACCTGAAATGAAGTTGACAGAGCAGTGTGATAAAATGCTTTCTTTGTGTAAAAAGAGCCAATTTCGCCCAAAAGTTGAGTAACGGTGGGACTCATTCCCACTTTCGTGTATCACTGGAATCATTGAAAGGGAACATGATTTTTCTAGTAGAGCTAAGTTTGTAACTATCCCACAGTCAAGCAGTCTTTTTCCTCTTGAAGGCTCCTAAGTTAAATAAACTACCCCTATTAACCAAATTGCAGATACGATAAACACAGGTTAATTATTCAATTCCACAAAAGGCAGCTTTTCCTCTTTAGAATGGAAATGTTGGACCTTTCATCCTTTATTAAAAGAAAAGGAGAAAAACACACATTTTAAAAGAAGTCATATTAACCGAGTCACCAATGCAAACAGGGGCCTCAGACTGAGCAGCCATTAATAGTAAGTTTCACAATTTGTAGCTTTTTCTCATATTTTCAAAAATAATTTTGCATATGTGGAGTTTGTCCGCACCCTCAACTCCAATCAACACCCAACACAGTCTGTCCTGTAAAACAAATTTTAAAAAACAGCCCGAAGAAAAAACAGTTTATAGTATAAGCAGGCTACATTACAGCTGAAATTGTCGAGCAAATCCTTCAATAAGGCACAGAGTCCAAATAGAGTGGGAGGAGGGGTGGTGTGATGGAGCAGATAAATATTCCAATTTAAACCGTAGGTCTTTCTGAGATGTGAGACTGAGAAAAATAGATGACCTGTAAATAACACAAAACACATCTTAGAGAAACCCTTTTCTCTCCGGATTTTGACAATGAGATCAACTGATACAACTGGGTAATAATCATGGGTTGATCTGAAATATAGTCTTGTTTCTTTTTAAAAAAAGACAACGGGCGAGAGGCCAGGTAAACACTGGACAGTTGGCCTGTCCATCTCAGGGCTACAAACAACCATAAACTATTTAAACTATATAAAATCATACCCTTTGCAAATTTTCTTTAAAATGTTCATTAATTGAGGTATTCATAATATTTTCAAACCTTCTAGTCCTGATAGAGAAAATAGGGGCTGCTTTGGCACCGTGTACAGTACCACCTGCTGCTGTGCCGTAGGTCATGCGCTCCCCTTCACAGCGAATGCCCAGAGAGGCTACACTCGGCTGAATTATTAAAGAGAGCAGTGGGTGACTTCCGATGCAGCCATTGTTCACATTCCCTGAGGGCAGAAGTCATTTTGTTTCCCAAGTAGGCTACCAAATTTGTTTGGTAACACATCAATCTTATGATATACATTCCTTAACTTTTAGGGCCAAAATATTTTTTCTGTACTCCTGTTACAAGAAACAGATTGGATACATTTATACGCGTCTCCATTAGTACACACCTTTGAATTGTTTAAAGAAACATATAAAAAAGCCATATAGTAAATAACTAATTCACACATGAGTCACATAATATAAGACTAACATGAGAAGGACATGTAAATGGTACTTGAGCTACTTCACAAACAACCTTACGGTCACAATTTCCATATTCGTGCATGAAAAGAAAACACTCAAACCACCATCCAGTGTACTAGCACACTCATGTCTGGGATCATGTTTATCATCTTAGTATTGAGAGTGACCGTCTAACCAGCTGATTATTGTTGAACACATGGCACCTGAGACTGAAAGTAGAATATTTAGCAGGTAGTATTTGCCATAAACCAAACCCAGATAAACCAAAACATTGATTCACCAAATTCTGACCTTGAACAATTAACATCAATTAACATCAATATGGACATTTTGTTTGTGTGCTGAATATTTAAAAGTGATCTTGTAGTGACACATTGAGGCAACCGGTAAGATCCACTACATTACAGATATGAACAATTTCCAGAGAGAAACATCTCACATATTTTGCAAACTGCTTTTTGTGCATTTTTTTCCCTTGTCCTCACAGATAAAATATGATAAATCTTTCAATCACATATTCCACCTTTTCTCACTATGGGAAAGCCAGCTGCCGCATTTCATTTTGCCTCTGCAAAATCTGATGGGACAGAAATTGGCTGTTGGAGTTGTGAACGTGTTTTAGTCAAACCATCTCGTCTTTTAAAGAAATGTATCCACCTGTCACACGCAGATTATTGCTCTGTTTTAGAAAAATAGATTTCTTATGTCAAAGCAACACTTGGGAACACACTGACTTAATGTTTAAGCTTACACTTAGACATTTCGGGTTGACTAACTTTAAAATGTGGCCCATGTTAACCCTGTATCTGAGACAAAAAAATAAGATGGGATTGGCTAGATATGCTCAACTGGTAAAAAAAAAACATACAAAAACAACCAACAAAGTGTGAATGTTAGCTTGTGTAACTGTCTCAGCATTTTCACCAGCATTGATACAGTATATTAGTACTATAGATGCTGGCTCTCGACTGCAGTGTATGATGGTCCATGTAAACAGGTGTTGGCTATAGCCTACGTGCACTCGTTTTACTTTAAAATGATCTGAGATTACATTGCACTGTTTTTCAGCCCAAAAAAAAAAGACTGTACAGTGCAACATGTCCATCTTAAAATACAGCTGACTGTGTATTAAGATGGAAACAAGGTTAATCATGTCCCACTGCCAACTCACACTCCGAACCAAAGCTTTGTTGTTCTGCTTCAACACAATAACAATCACTATGCATTCTCAGCAATTCAACCTTTGTCTGCAAGTACAATATTTGTCAGACATGAAGTTGGTTTCTTACAGTTTGCAAGGTCTTAACGCACCAAGAAGACATCAATGTGACGGCATAAGCAAACCCAGGGGTTTGAGCAGTGAGAGATGGTGGTCTGGTAGGGGGTCTTTGTCTTATCTGCAACATGATTTGCTGCTAGTTGTTGTGATGAATTAATCAGCCGTGACCTAATTAGATAAATAAATGAACAAATAAAGTTAAAAACTGACTAAATGGCCCATGAGGTGATGCGAAACCTGGTTAAATGTGGCAACAAAACACCCGAGTTGGCAACACAATGTGTCAGAGATCCACTTTCTGATGTATGCCACAGCATCATCAGTTGGGAATCTATTTTTCATTGGGGAGAAACGTGTGAAACACTTTGAAAAGTGTGAATTGCCTGAATCTGCGCTCGGCGCATGACGCCTCAGAGCGCTCCACACTGACACACTCAGCCAAAACCACAACACTCAAATTTGTGGTTCCGGTAGCAAGTTTTGATCCTCTGGAGAATGAGAATCTCTGCACATTGTTTTGTAAGACGATCCCTTAGGTCATGTGGTTGGTTTCAAATAAAACAGAAGGAGACAAGTTTTCTGCCGAAGGAGCATAACGACAGAATCTCCATGCTAAACATTAATTTCTTCCTTTAATAATTGCTTCACATGCTGATATCTCTATCGAACGATGGACAGCTTTTTCAAGAATCGTATGGAAGTGAATGGACAAAGGCGAAGCACCAACTCTAGAATAATTGTGCATGTGATTTGGAGAGCACTAATGATGGTTATTAGGAACAGCTGCGTACAGGGAAACCCCCCCAACCCACAACCAGAAACCCGTTTCGCTGCATGTCCTTAGATATTTTCTGTTTTTGGTCGTTTTCTTGTACTTATTGCACCTTTCAGAGCAATGGTGCTTGTCTGCTGTGCATGTTTTGAAAGGCTATGTGGAGAAAAATAGAAAGATAAAACGCCCATAATGTTCTTTCGAGTGTTTTTCTCGCACAAAAGCCTTGAGTTAATGTCCAATTGATTTTTTTCCCTCATTGATACTTAAAGGCATTTAGAAGATGGGGTGCATGCTGGAAGGTTTTATCTTGACAATGAAGGTTTTTATTTATCAGATGACAGATTTTGCAAGGTAAACGGTAGCATTTGATACATACTTTTGAAAATTCTGCTTGGATGAGGCAGAGCACTATTAGGACGAGTGACACACAGTTGACTGCAAAGATGTATTTTGAATACCTCTGCCTACTGATACAACACTTTCTTGCTTCAAAATTGGCTTTTTGTACCTATGGAGGGGATGCCATGCCTAAGCTAGGAAAATACCAGCAGTCAGGGCCAAAGTAACTTTCGGGCAATGGGCCAACTGAAAAGTCCTCAGACAGGGAAAAGCAGGGGAGCTGTAGACTAACAGCCATGTAATTCACTTTGTCTGACCACTTGACAGTGAACTAATTTCCTCAATTTATTTTTCTAAACAAAACAGCTAAAAGTAAAACAATCTTTGCACAGAAAAAGTAGATTGACAAAATCTTGTACTGAATAAAGCCTTGGAAAACCTTTTTTTACTCATCTGAATGCATAGAATTAGTAATATAGACTTTCTGGTTGCAAATTCAGATTTTAAAATATGGTTTGAATCCAAACATTGGTTTGACAAAGTAAATACATTTTGTTACAGTGACAAAAAAGCAAAAATAATTCAGAATGAGCCGAGACTTTGCATCTAAACTGTTCTTTTAAGGGGAGTTTTTCTCATTTATCTGTGCTGTAAACTGTTCTAATAGATACAACTTCTAAAATGAAGCAAACAACATATGGACCCAACATTTTTATGTCATTTCCGTGCTTAAGACAAAACAAAGAACAGATTGGTCTCATTAAAAATCAGGACAGTTTCCCCGATATTTATCACATTTAAAAATACAAAAATAAAAACCAGGCTTTTCAGATTAGGTGTCAAGGATTAAACCTTCTTTGGAAAGTGAAAGGTGGTGCCTGTCTTATCTAAACCTCTTACTGTTTTCCTTGCTCTGAAAGTGTGTACGATTATCATTTCAAGATCTTAATAGCTTTCTAAGCCCTTCAGATAAAGATAGAGCATGACTTCTGGCAGAAGATTTAAGAGCAGTCTCCAAATGA